CTATGATTCTATGATTCTATGAAATACAATAATCATGTATCGTTTGATTTGCTTTGCTGTAGGACTAGCTATAAGCTTCCGGTAAGGCAACTATAGCACCAGTACTCTGAGGTGTATGTTTACTTGTCACAAACCTGAGCAACTGCATGAACTTGCAAAACCTACTCTTTTTGTTGTAGTGATTTGTTTGGTTAGCACGACTTTCACCTCTGTAAACTAGCGAAGTAAGAGTTCTGCTTACTGTCTGTCAGAGTAAGAATACATGCACTTCTAGACTATGTGTTTATATAACTTGTAAAGCTATTAAGATTCTTCTCGATATCATTGTGGTTTTTGTTTTTAAGTTCTGTTTCAAGTTATTCTGCTAATCCAGCTGAAAGGGAAACAGATGAAGTGGTTCTGAGGAGAAGACAAAAACAGATCAATTTTGGGAAGAATACCCTTGCATATGACAGATACATTAAAGAAGTTCCAAAGTAAGTTGTACTATGTTTCACATTTCCAAATAAGCTCTTACTTGTTCCTGAAACATGTGTAAATCAACACACAGCTTTAGTTGTCTTAAAGTTTTATGAACAGGAAGTGAAGAAAACTTGAATCAGTTGATTTTTGTCAAAGAGAAACCAGATATTTTCTGCATAAGAGAAAATTTAGTTAGGAAGAATTTAGAGCTATATGTTCTTTGCGTATTGCTGTTGCTAGTAGTATTAGTCAGCTCCCTGTGGTACTTCTGGTGACCGTGTTGCTAGGCCAGCGTGAAGTTAATCGATGCCAGGAAATGGCGGCTTTGAATGAGGACTGAGTACAGCCTTGCATTTAAGTATTGGTAAGGGAAACCAGCCTTCAGCGATTCATCAATAACTAACAAATGAAAAGCTGGATTTCTTGTGTTCTCTGTCATTTCACTTTGGGCTTCAGAGTGTATGGATTGTGGCACTTAAACCAAGATTTCTTAGCCAGCCCCCTCTGCTTACTGCAGAGCTGTCAGGATTCAGAAGCAGCTCTGTACTAATGTGTGGATGTGCATCTGTGTTCTTGTTTCTTCGTTTTGAGGGCTATTTGTTAGAGGTGTTTGCTAAACATGGCTTGCTACTTATAGTTGCCAGCTTTCTCTGGATTCTACTTGTAAGAGTCTGTTGTGAAAATTGCCAGCCAAGTGCAGCGGAAATGGCAAGCTTGTTGTTGAGCAAAACTTGAAAGATTAGACTAGATGACTAAAAATCAGCAACAGATACCATAAATGATCACAGGTAACACAACATCATGATCACATCTTCAGTAACACTTTGTTGTTCTTTGAAGAGTCTTGGATTGCTTTGTCAATTGTAATTTTGCTCATCACTTTGTCATCAGTAGTAGGACTGCAGCCAGTCTTACAGTGATTCCTGGGACTTGCATAGCTATGCTGCGATTAGTTAAATTGTAGGTGGAGAATACGAAAGGGTGAGAACAATGTTCAGAAAAACCATGGGATAAACTTTAAATAAAAGGTGTTCTGGGTGGTATTTTAACAGGGTAGTTTGTAATACTGTTCCTTAGCAGGGATCTGTTCATCTTACAAAAAGTGTGATGGCTAAGTGCATTGATCTGTGAAGCTGACAGGGGGAACCACTTGTGACCATGGCACTTTTTGTGATTTAAAACATGCTTCCCTGCCCCCACCGCTCAGGCTTAAAGCTGATTCCAGTATTGTAGGACTACAAACAGGATTATTTTGTACTGAAGATACAGTTTGAGTGAGCTTTCCAGTAATCTCTGGTGGGCAGGATCTGGGTTTGGGATACCATCTGAGAAGTTGCACTTCAGCTGTGGGGTGATCGCAGACAGTGTTGTTACAGGGTCTGCCCGGTGTAGTTTCAGTGGAAAGGTGTGTCATTCACATTTTACCCAGAGAGTGGGGGTACTTTGTTTTCTAGACTCCTGAAAGACAAATGCTGTTTAGAATTATAGCAATCCCCATTGTAATAATGCATGGACAGTGGTGGAATAAAAGTGCACTGAAGATACTTGTGAGTTGACTCCTGCCAGCAGCCAAGTACCCACACAGCTGCATACTCACTCCCTCTCCCTAGTGGAACATGGAAAGAATAGGAAGAGCAAAAAGCAAGGGAATTCAAGGATTGGGATAAGGACAGTGAAGGAAAGGAAGGGGAGAGAAAGCAAGTAATGCAAATGCAATCACTCACTACCTCCCACAAGCAGAGCGACCTGACACCCTCTGAGCAATGGCTACTTTGGAAGGCACCGCCCTTCTTCCTCTGCCCTGTTTTTTATTGCTGAGCATGACGTGATATGGTGTGGAATATCTCTTTGGGTAATTCAAATCAGCTGTCCCAGTGGTTTCCCCTCTCAACTTCTTGTTCACCCTCAACTTAGTCGCTGTGGGAGAGGGCAGGGCAGAGCAGAGTAGGGAAGAAGAGAAAGCCTTGAAGCTGTGCAAGCACTGTTCAGCAATAGCCAAAAATTAGTGTCTTATCATCACTGTTTTAGCCATAAATCCAAAACATAGCACTACAAGGACTGCTAGGAAGGAAGTTAACTCCATCCTAGCCAGTCTCAGTACAATACTAAATACAAAGGAACTGCACCTGACTCAGGAGCTAACTGAGAAGTAGCTGGAGGCTAGGATGCTATTGAAGGGTGATGATTTATGTTTCTTCTGTTTCATATTTGTCCATGGGCAGTAGGGATCTGCTTTTGGCAGCTGTCAAAGTGCAGACTGGATGAACCTCTGGTCTTGCTCAGCATGTTACTGTTATTGTTTGCGTGGTCTGGTTTTGGCAATGTTTTGGAATATACCCAAAAAAATGTTTAAAAATGTGAAAATTTTATTTATTAGGCTACTGATGCTTGTGTGATTTGATGAACTGGCGATTTTTTTTTTAAGCATGAAAAATATGTCCTGAAATACAAATATTACTGTGTGTTTACAGGAATCAGCGAATACCAGGAGTTCATCCTAGAACTCCCAACAAATTTAAGAAGTACAGCCGTAGATCCTGGGACCAGCAGATCAGGCTGTGGAAGATAGCATTGCATGCCTGGGATCCTCCTACTGAAGAAACCTGGGATCTGCAGCCAGTGTGTGTATGGGTGAATTAAGGCAGCACGTCTCGTGCTTCACAGAACTCTGTTTCCTTTAGAGCATTCCTTAGCTGGGAGCAAGAGATCAGGTTCAGAAGTGGGAGTCTCCTTGAATGCCTTGTTTTCCTTTTTGAATTCTGTTAGTCTTCAAGATACTCCCATTATTTAGTATAAATTTATCTCCAGTAATGCCCTTTGGGGAGGAAGGTTACAGTAGTACACTCCCTTCCCCTCTGTGTTTACACTGGTGAGCACAAGGTAAAATTTATTTTTCTAGGAGAAGACATAAGCAAAAATTCAGTGATTACTGTTCCTTAACCTTGATAACTTTTCCATCTTTTCTTTTTCTGATGTCAGTGGAACCACCTTTCTCCTGCAGTAGCAGCATGTTAGAGGATTTGAGAAGTGTAAGATTGGAGAGAGATTTCTGTGCTTTCTGCAGGAGAGTGGCAACTGTGTTCAAGATCGAAATTTTTCTTCTTTTCAGAACTTTGAATTTCTGTAACAAAGTTAGCTCTGCTAATTGAGGCCACCTAATACTTTACAAGGATTGAACTAGTGAATTGGGAGAAAGAGTGGAAATCTATTAGCTCTGTAACTGCATTGTGTAAATAGGTTTAGCTGTGTTGTAATCGATCTACAGTGGAAATTGCAGTTGATTGCACTGTTTGGATGTCATATGAGATGAACTGTTAATTATTACTGCAGCTTAACTGTGCTTGGAGTGGTAAGCTAGATGGGTAGTATTTTAAATCCTTTTTTTTTTTCTTTTTTCTGTTTTTAGTAGTACAGAACCCTCAGGCAGTTCCCAGGAATGGTTCTGCAAAGATCAGGATGTTTCTGGCTCCCTTGTATTTGACGAAAAGCAAAAGAGAAATGAGTGTGAAGATGAATGCAGGCAGACTGACTACACACTGGAGAGGTATGAGATAAAACTGTGGTTAACTTACTAAAATAATTCAATACACATTGACGCTGTCAGGTTTTTTTAGGAAATGTTTAGTGAGAGAGGGCAGGTAATGGTCAGATTTGGAGTTTGGCGCTTTTGCCGTTGAATGTAATCCATCACTAGTACAGAGCATTGAATGTGGAAAAATTATCAGCGTTACAGAATTGCTTGATCAACAGCAGAAAAAGTCAGTGTTTTTTCAGCTTCTCTTTTATGTAAAAATGGTGGAGTACTGAGGTTTCTTCAGCCACTGTTGGCAAGTGCTGAAAGTAGGATACCTTTTTCAGAAGCAAGGATGACCAGCCTTAATTAACAGCATTACACCTTTCTGTAGAACAGCAGGGAGGCGAACAGTGAAGCACCTCATGCGCTTCCCTGTTTACTGGGATATCTTGATCTGTGGACATGCGTGTGGAGCTGAAAATGGTTCTGCTTCCAAGTACCTTGTGCATTTGTGACTGGGTTCACTTTCCAAAATATAATGGAGTAGTTACCAAAATTTGAGCCCTTTTCTCTGTGTTCCTCTGCTGTGACTGAAGAATCATACCTCAAAAAAAGTATTCCTTGCATAGCAAGTGCCATTGTTTTGCAGAACTCTGAGCATTTAAACACAGATGAAAAAACGTTGTGTGTGTAAAACCTATGTTTTATTTTTGTAGTCCCTGTTCTCCCGATTCTTCTCCAGTATGGAAACGCAGAAAAAGAAACCATTCTGACTCCTCTGTGGTTTCAAAGAGCAAAAGCCATTATGTGCATACGTACCACACACTGGAAAGGTATGAAATGACTCTCTGAATAGAGATGCATCGATACTGTGAACTGACTTTTGGAATATGACTAGTATTTATCCTTCCATTTGTTAATAGCTATAATTTTATCTGCTATAAGTGTGTGCAGTTTAATGAGGAAGGAAAATCATGCCAGAATAATTGTGTTGTATGATAGCAAATATTTGTAGCAGTCCATTGCAAAGGTGAAGAAACTTCAGTGTCAGAAGATATAACGTGGGTTATTTTTTTTTGTGTAGATTTAGGCAACACTAATGTGTTGGTTTTGATTTCTCGTGGAACCTGGGTTCTGCTTCAGAGGTTGTAATTCTGAAATTATTAGGCATCTGCCATACTTATTTCTCATACTTCTTACGTGCACTGCATTCTGCATTTTGGCATACAGTGTGTACAAGTTGATGAACGTTATGGTAAGGCAATGGAGCCCAATATGCACCCATAAGTCAGCGAATACTTGCTGCCTATTTAATTACTACCATGTTACGTTTGCTACAGGTATTACAGAGAATATGTGTTAATGAAAGGATGTGGAAGAAGCTTTGCGTATTTTGATTAAGCTTTTCCCTGCCTTACGAAAGATGTTTTGGAAGAAAATGCTTGTTGGAACAACAAGGAATTGGTCACCCAGCCTGGGACTGGGACAGAGTGAGGTTAACATTCAAAAATGGATAACCAAAGGGTAGAGTTTTTCAGGCTAGCGAAGTTGTTCAGGGATTAAACTACTCTGCTAGCGATTGGTCTTAAATCATATTTCCTATTTTCCCCTTTCCTAGCTCTGCATAAGAAATCTTCCTATAGATGAGAAATTATAGGCTATGTAAAGAAGAGCATGGTTTAGTTCTATATACAGTTTTGTCAGAACCACAGAAGAACTGGAACAATTATTTAAGTTTTTGGGGGTTTAGTAGACTTCTCACACTAACATTAGTAAAAATGTTTATCCAGGTGTCTGGTTTTTCTCTCTATTTAGCCCCCTTATCTTCAGAAGAATTAGGAGGAACTGTGTCACAAAGGTCCATGGTTTCAGACCTTTTCACTTTCTTTCTAGTCTTAATGAGTCAGGACATCAGGAGGCTTTTTCAGCATGCTCAGAGTGGGAAGCTTTTGGTGAAAATGATGAAGTAATGGCAGTACAACATGGTATAGAAATAACAAGGTAAATACTATAATGATTATGATGTTCTTTCTGTTTATTGCTTGTGCTGTGAAGGTGTCCTTTGCTTTTTTTTTTAATCTTTCTTTTCCTTCATTGTTTAACACTATTTTTTTCCCTCTCCTTACGTTCCCTCCGATGTGTTTGGTGGTTATTTTTGTTCTTTGAGTTTATTTGGCTTTTTCCAGTCTGACCCTCCATCTATTGCTTTCTGCTGCTTCTGCAGTTAAGTACTGCTGGAAGACCCTGAGCCCCTCTCACTCTTTGCCTTATGGAAAGCAATGGCGTTTTACAGACTTGGTCCCCATGATTGTTACTAGCTTCCCACTTCCTCAGCCTAGGAGCTGAAAGCTTCTTCACTGTCTTCTGAGAGATTAAGTTGTTTTGTAGCTGACAACAATGATAGTTATTTGTTTTTATGCAGTGACCCGATTCCAGCCAGTTGTTCTTCAGGATGGAACCATCAGAAACAGAAAAAAACCAACTTCTTTCTGCCTGACAGCAAAAGTTGCAGAGATACAGACTGCAGACTGGAGAGGTATAAAATGCAGCTCCTCAGTCAGGGACGTTTTTTGTGTATATTAATTTAGAAGCATAGTTGCTTTATTGCTGTATTTCAATCCAAGCTTTTATTACAAACAGATTTTTTGTTATTTTGTTTACTATTCTTCTTACGGATGTGTTGGCCAATATTTGTATGTCGTGTGGTAAAATTCTGTCCTTATATTCTCATGTTATAGTCTGTATTACTGTAAATAGCAGGTTGTAGCTGTACTTAGTATAAAAAGGTTACCATAATAAAGCCACCTAATCTTTGGGTTTTTTTTATTTGTAGACTTAAACTTTGTAGCAGTTTATTGAAAGGACATCAGTCAGAATACTCTGAAAAGAGATGGGGAAGTGCAAGTACTGAAGATAGGATGAAGATGAGGAAAAAAATTTAAATACCAAAGTGAGTTCATGCTGACATTTTACCTATGCAGTATCATTCTACAGAATCCAACTGTTCAGTTCAAGCAGATCAGCTTCTCTTTTTTTTCCTTTATTATGTTAGTATTTTATCCTATACTCTTGTATTTCATGCAGCACCTTAATTAAAAGATCTAATACTTCAGAGTTAGTAAATTGAAATACTTCCTTGTTCAGCCAGAAAACATGTGTGTTATCACGCAAATGCAAAGTGCCAGATTTTTTAATTATTTCAGTAGCAGCTTTTCTGCCTCTTAATGTTTTTGTGATGAGGTCACAACTTTGCACTTGCAGCAGTAGATTTAAATGAAAATTTCCTCTTGGCCTGTGGATTCCTGTGGTGCATTAATAGGATGGATAGTAATCTTGAGTCAAACAGCTTTTATTAGCAGATAGTCTTTTGTGTAATTTGATTTTCTTTGATCTACGTTTAATGCAGGCTCTGAAATGTTATGGACTACGATGTAACTGTCTGTTTAAACAAACAGTGATCTTGGAATACTTTGCATAATAAAACTCATTAAGAATATGGCATTAAGAATGTGGCATATAATTAGTTTTATACTACTTAGATTTTTGAATTCTAGAAATATGAGGAAAAGGCAGGTAGAGCTTTTAAAAAATTGTGCTAATGGCATTTTTCTGTTGACTTTTAGTTTAAATTCTTTGAGCATGAATAAGACTTAATATGCATTCACTTTTCTAAAGTGCTAATTCAATATTTGAAAATATCTAGTCTCTCTTTGTATATAGAAGTATCAAAGAAGGAGGACTTTCTCCTGTGACAGAAAACAATTTGAAGAATAGGGATGTAGTCTGAGATCAGCAGATCAAGTCTTGGAAAACTGGTGCAGTCATGGAAGATCTGCGCTGAAAGAGGAAGAGATTTGCAGTCAGTATGTGCAATCAACAGAAGGTGAAATGTGCAGGTAAAAGCAGCATGCCTCTGCATCACAGTGAAGAGAGCCCATCTGAATTTCTCAATAGGTGATATTTAGTTGCCTTTCAGTTGTCTTTGTTATACATAAGGCTCTATTAAGAAGTGTATATATTTACTGGGTTCGTAATCACTCATTCTAATTGGAAAAATATCTTTGATATGTGAAATATAGAACGTGAATTAAATAGCTTCTCTGTGGAGCAACACATTGGTTTCTTGGGATGCAAAGATCAATATTTAGAGGGACACTGCCTTGAACCATATTTTGTAGGTGTGATGAGCTCTAACTGTCAAGTGGTGGGAACTTCATCTATGGAAGGTGAATGTTGCTTGAAAACCAGATCGTGGGTTACGTGGTAGAATTCCACACCACCTGCCTTTTTGCTAAAAGAAAATTTCTTAAACAGGAAAACAAATGTGGCTGTTTTGGAGCCCACTTAAATGTCCATACGTTTGAGTATCTGGTTGCTTTTTAAAGGGGAAAAAAAAAACCACCTTTGTAGGACACTTAAGATATGGCAGGAATGTGTTAATTAGAATTGAGAAAAAAATGTATTTTATGAATTAATAATGACATTTAGGTGAAAATGATGTGAGGGGTTGGGAAAGATAGGCTCAATACTTAATTTGCTCTTTGACAAATACTTTAGGATTGTCAGGTATGTAGTATTTTTTTTTTAGTATGAACACTTTGAGAGCATATCTGTAACACTGTCTTTAGTGTAGACAATATGGCTTTATCTTTTACACTGTGCTTTAAGCTCGCCATATGCAGTACTCTGTTCCATTTACTGCTACCATAACACTGCACCTTAAAAGACTAACTGTTTTGCTGTTAATGACTACATGTATCATATTTGTAAAACGCTGTTATCTATCTTTTTGTTCAGGTTTCTCCAGGTCTTTAAGGATAGATTGCTTTCTGCAAGCTCTGCCTCAAGTGTAAAACTTCAGATTTCATTAAGCCTGTGCTACAATGATGATGGATGTTCCTTAAAGCTTTTGTGAGAATGTTTCTGTTTTACCTGCGTTGGCAGATGATGCGTGCATCATATTGTAAAGGCTGCTTCAGTTGATGGATCCTGCTGTTGCCATTTGGAGATCGTGCTACTTAAAGTGCGCTAATGTTACGCTGGTGAATTGGTCCGATATCAAGTCAAGCTGAAGAATGCCACCCCTTAAACCAAGGAGTTAAATCTTGTTTCCTCTACTGGACTGGAATTGTACATCCAACCTGAAGAACTGCTTCAAAAGAATGTGGATAATTTCAACCTTTCTCCAGTTGTTAAAGACAAACTGTTCTTAGCTTTTGGGTTGGGTGATCATTAGTTTATTTACCATTGTCCGAGAGAAGATACATTAAGCTAGCGTTTGCCTAAGCCTAGCATGAGAAGAGAAAGGAAAGGTAGATGGTTTATCAGAATGAGATCCCTCTCTTTAAGGGGGTGAGTGACTGTTTAAACAGCAGCACAGCCTAAGTACCTGGATTTTGCTTTTATGTGTGTGGCAGCCTGACCAAAAGAGCCAGTCTGCTGCTAAGAGTATATGAGGATGAGTTCAGTGCCCACTGTTCCTACAGGAGGTGAGCAGCAGTATTTGCAGGTTCAGAGCTGCTCTTGGGCACGAGATGCCCAGGCTAGGGGTTGTACTGGTGTTGAGATGGGCTCTTCTTTGTTTTGCTCTTCTAGCACTGTGCTCAGAAGGTCGAAGTGAAGGCTGTGGCTACAGTGGAGCTTAGACCAGATTCACGTGCCAGTTACAAGAATTTTTTACAGTCCATGTGTCATTTTATGTAGCGTGTACTGGGATACGAATGTCTGTTAGAGCTGGGAATTGTCTCCTTGCAGGAATTCAGTTTGGTGTTTCGCAAGGCCGCTGCAGAACTGTGGCAGCACTAGGGATGACACACAGCAGCCTTGCTGCTGGGCTCACCATATACTCAAGGGCCAAAAGTCTATTGTGCTACTGAAGTGGAAGCTGCTTTCCCGGAAACTAATCCCAGTCCCTTCCAAAACATTTTTTCCTGGCATGTTAGGCATGGAGTTCAGTAGTGTCCCAGCACAAGGGTGGCTCAGTCGCACACCGCAGAGCGTGGAGTATGTGTATACAAGGAACACATCTGTACAGCACTTTTTAAAGTAATATTTAGAACCTTGTTCCAGTGTGCATGCTTCCATGTGATTTATGATAATTGTAAATAAGGGAATGTGTTACATTTTTGGCATTTTGTCTTTATGCAGAAGAATTAAAGACTTTAACATGAAAAATCCCTGTTAGTCTGCTTTTGGTGTTATGTTAGCAGAGTTTCATTATAAAAGGAGTATGTGGGTTCAGTAGTCCTTTTGTTTGTTTGTTTTAGTGTGTTTTATTTCTTTTGGCTCTTTTTTTTGTTGTTCTTGCTATAAGGGTGAAGGAAGAATCTTCAGAGATTAAATCAAGCTCTTTAAGGAGGTTTACAGTACAACTTGGGTTCTGTCCGACCCCTCAGTTTGTATTTTGATGGCTTGTCGTGAACTTGTGTTCAGTGCATCATAACCTCGTGGAAGGGAGCAGCTGAAGCCCAGTGCCCATTCTGCCACAAGAGGCGTCCTCCTGGAGAGGATGGAGCTGTTAGGAGAGAGTAATAGGCTGTCACAAAATGCTGAAGCTCAGCTGTCAGAGCCCTTAAGCTTTTGTCTATGATGGATGGGACCTGCAGTGGATTTATGAACACAAATCCATAGGATTTGTAATTCAATGGTCCTTAAAAGATCTTATATTTCTCAATGGAAGATACTCGGACTAGAAATAGAATAGCCAATCTGCCTGTGGCAGTTAAATTTTGGGCAGATTTATTCCCTAATCCAGGTTTTGTACGCTCGAACAAGCTATGCTAGCACAAGGAATGGAATAATACTGAGCAAATGAGGTTTGAGGTCTTCTAAAGTCACTTCATGCAGTGCTGCCACTGGATGTTGGACCATTGTAATGTCCTCTAATTAGTAACAGACCCTCATCGGCCTAAACAGAGTTAAAACTGGAATGCAGTCTATCTGTT